GACCAATGTCCTGAACCACTGGACAATGTGCTTTCCTTGCCAGCCTGCAGCCTGGGCGGTGCCCGGTGACACAGCTGCCCTGCCGGGGAGGGCCATGAGCAGCCTGGGTGAGGGGCACAGGGAGCCTCAGCACCCCGAGCCCCTGGTTATCGTTAGAACACAGAAATACCCGTGTGGGCACTTTTACTACACCTGTGGCAGGTGGTTGCTTCAAGCCTGACTCGTTCAGCCCCTTCACAAAGTGCTTTGTTTCCCCATCCAGCCCATGAGYGCCTTTTTTGAAGACTCAGCAGCATTTGTGGGTTAAACCACCAAAACACCACCCGTGAGCAGAGCTGGGGTGGCTGCTGCTTATCCTCACTCTCCTGGCATTGGAAATGGAGCAGAAATCAAGGTTTCATTGTCACAACAGTCTGTGGGAAGGGTTAAATTGGGATTTCTGTGAGGTGGGGTGTCACTCAGCAGCTTTGGTTTGGGCAGAGGGGCAGAGCAGACATTGCTCACTGTGCCTGTACAGGCAGAACTGTTTCACTGTCCAGGTCAAACCGAGTTTGATTTGTACCACATGGCTGTGCCAGCTGGGCATCTCCAAGCCCTGTTGTTTATTTACTCTGCTTTAACCACCATTTTCTACTCACAAGTTGTTCGCAGTTGCCACTAATGCAATTACTTTAATTTAAATTGATTCTGGGGAGAAATTCTCCTCCGTGAGGGTGGGCAGGCCCTGGCACAGGGTGCCCAGAGAAGCTGTGGCTGCCCCTGGATCCCTGGAAGTGCCCAAGGCCAGGGCTTGGAGCAGCCTGGGACAGTGGAAGGTGTCCCTGCCATGGCAGGAGTGCTGGGACAGGATCCCTTCTAACCCAGACCATTCTGTAATTTTATGATTCAGGGACCAGTGGAAGTTTCTGGGTCTCTTTCCCAGGGCTTAATCTGGCAGCAAAACAAAGATTTACCATCAGAAATCATTTYAAGAACACAGAATTATGATTTGCCCAGACTTTGGGGTTTTAAATGCTGAAGAGTTCCAGGAATGTCCCTTCCTAGCAGAGGGGCAGCAATGTCTGCCCCCTGCTCCTCCCATCTCCCAGCCAGGCCAGCCCCACACCGGGGTGGCTGAGAGGGCACCAGAGGCTCAGAAAAAAAGGGAAAACAGAAGGATTGGGAATTGCTTAATTAGAAACAGTTTTCCCCTTTAATGTTCAGCAATTACTTTGAGGTCAGGAGAATTATTAGTAATATTAATCGCTGAATTTCCAGAGAACTAAAGTTAATAGCAGCCTAATTGGGCCGCACCGTCCAGCGCTAATTGCTGAGCGCCAGCAGGCAGCTCATTAAGGCTTCCAGCCCTTCTCCTTTGGCAAATCTCATTTCTCCTGAGTCCACATCCTGGCTAACGTGGCTGCAGGGGGTTAAGGGCTGGGATGAGCACACCAGACCAACGAGGCCGCGGCTCTCAAGGACTCTGCTCCTTTCCCACCTTTCCACCCACACGGTGACATCTCAGGTCCCTTGCCTTTGGCACTGTCCCCAGGTGGGCAAGGAAAGGCATTTCTTGCTGAAGATGGGCCCAAGCGCAGATGTTCTGGCTCTCAACAGGCTGAGATCTCATCCCAGTCCCTGCCATGGGCACAAACACCTTCCACCCAACCAGGCTAAGGTGATCCYTGAGCCACACTGTGCCCACAGCTCAYCCTATAACCTCTCCTTTATGGATTCATGGAATGATCTGGGTTGGAMGGAACCTTAAAGATCATCMAGTGCCACCCCTGCCATGGCAGGGACACCTCCCACTGTCCCAGGCTGCTCCCAGCCCCAATGTCCAGCCTGGCCTTGGGCACTGCCAGGGATCCAGGGGCAGCCACAGCTTCTCTGGGCACCCTGTGCCAGGGCCTSCCCACCCTCACAGGGAGGAAYTCCTTCCCAATATCCCAWCTAAACCTACTCTCTGTCACTTTGGAGCYCTTTCCCCTCATTTTATCACTGCACACCCTTGTCCAAACTCCCTCTCCATCTCTTTTGGTCTCTTTTAGCCACTGTAAGGTCACCCCAGAGCCTTCTCCTCTCCAGGCTGAAGGGATGCCCTGCTGGAGCACACGGAATTCCAGACACAGTGGTCACAGCCCTCACYAGAGCTGCCCCTTTTGGTGCTGGTGGTTCACCCGGGAGCACAGGGCAGGGATTTGCCTCCTGTCAAAGGGGCAGCTGGAGACAGGGATATTGCACCTGAGGATGAACATGACCCAGGCACCATCCTGCCCGAGGTGTGATGCTCTGGGATCATCAGCAAAGGAAAAGCAATCAAAATACCCTCAAAATACTGAAATAAAGAACTGAAATGCTGCAAGCAGGAGGGGTTCTTTCTTGTTTTTTAGTTCTGAAATGCAGCAACAGAAAACAGAATGGTGGAGACATAATGAAGCTCCAAACCTGCCCATTTATGTTTAAAAAAAAATGACAAGGGAGGAAAACAAAATTTCATGGGGTACAGTGARGTCTGAAAATTACCAGTTTTTATAAATTGCATGTATTTATGTGTGTATATGTATATAAAAGCCTTACATTTATAAGATTAGTGCTTGTTCTGGCAAGGCATCAGTGACAATTTTCCTCTGCATTTTACCTGCACAATACAAAGTGCAGATTATCTCATTCCAGCGTCACCAAATATAAATAGCACTGTAAAAGCACCTTTACAAGGCCAGTCTTTTGCTGCCATTTTCCCTCATTCTTCCTTACAGAATTCAGATAAATGCTCCAAATTATGTAAAACACTCTGCTTTTGCCTTGGGGAGCAGGAAGGGGAGGCACAGAGCCGTGGCTGGGAAAGGTCCTGTGGCATTGTGGAATTTCGCTTTTCTCCGGAGGTGTTTAACAGCAATAACAGGCAAGGCCTTACAATAAATAGAATAATGCAGCCCTTGGGACTGTGCTGTGCTCACTGTGCACTGTTTCAGCTTCTCACTCCCTCCTCCCRCCCATGGGGCTGGCGTGGAATCAAGCACTACCTACGTAGCACTTAGCGAGGATTTGGAGCAAAGGAGCTTTTTCACCTAAAGGCTGGAGCCAGCTGAGARGGGAAAAAATCCAACCAACCAAACCTAACCCACCAACCTTTTAATTTTTTATTCCCTTTAAGCCTCAGTTCCTGGCAGGCCGAGGAACAGATAGTGGGGTTGAAGGAGGTGCCTTTCCCATGCAGGTGTGGAGCAGATGCAGCAGCAGAGCAGGGGCTGGTGCCGTGTTCATGTGCATGGAATCCTCTGAGGGATTATTGTATCCAAGTAGGCTGGTCAGCACGAAAGGTGAGGGCACCTGGAATCCCAAATCCTCCCTGAGTSCCTCCTGGCCACTGCCCACAGAGCAGGGGTCAGATCTTTGCTGCCCWCACAGGGCTGTGAAACGCCCAAGCACTCCTCTCACACCACCATGCAGATGGGCCACACTTGTGTTATTAAATAAATAACACACTTGTGTTATTAAATAAAGCTTCTGGAGCTGGGGGGGTTGTTCTGGCCAGGCTTTTTTTTTTTTTTTCTTTTGTCTTCTTGTTTCTGCTCTGGCACGCCAGAGAGATTTATAGAAACAACATCAAAAGGCCTGTGAGCGGAGGGGATGGATGTGCTGAGCTGACCACGGGCCCTGGATTTGTCAGGCTGGTATTTATTACAGCAGGGGAGGTGACAGCTATGTTAAGATCAAACTCAAAAGTCAACAGTGAAATTGCATCAAGGCCGGCCACTTTCAAGCTTCCCAGTAATCCCTGCTCCTTCCCGATGAGAGGGGAGAGATAAATTAGGAGGCAACAAAATGCATCAAGAATACAYGAACAAAAAGCACGTGGGTCTAGGGAAGGCTGTGATGTGGAAAACACTCTCGGGGCTGAAGGCTGCYCTGTGCTGATGGCCTCAGATGTCTGGAAAAGGGTGCAGGCATCAAAGGAGAGGTGACTGTCACCGCAGCTCAAAGTGCTGCTAATGTGACTGGTAAAAGGTGTGAGCTGGGGGCAGCTGCAGGGCTGGCCAGAGGGAAAAATAAATCGGGATGGAGAGGGAGGAGGCTGGAATGACAATCACTTTATCCTGTAAAATCTCTGATTAGGAGTAGAAAACTTAAAGACAGAGGCCGAGTAGCAGTGAGGACTGGGGAAAGTGAAGATTGTTTTTGTTTTGTATTCCATAAGCTGCTCACACTGAGCAAATTTACTGCAAAACAAGCAAATCAGTGGAAGAAAGCTGAAAACACAGGGTCCATCCTTTAAAAATACACAGATACACATTGACAAGGCTTCTTAGTGCATATTTACACTGATTATTTTGTTTTCTTTCTAGAATWAAAGCTGCCATAAACCTTCAAAGACTTAAGGGCTGTTTCAACSGCTGAATTACAAAACAGCCTGGTCACAAATTACAAAATAAACTTGGATGGTTTAAATAAAGAGGAAAAATAATCCACATGATTCACTTCAGTATCGATTTTTACAGGGAAGATAATTCTCTTGACACACTTTCTATGGTTGTGAAATGATAAATTTTAAGCATTTTAATCCATGCTTTGATATTTTGGACCCTAAAGCCARGCAGCTGAGAAACTTGAAGCCCTTTCCCCCAGAACTCCTCCTCTGCAAATGGAAGAGGCCGAAATGACCCATCTGGAATGCTGAGTGCCAATCTCAGGGATGGGATTTGGGCTCCTCTGCCAGAGGGCAGCTCTTCCCCAGCCCTCTCAGGAGGGAAGGCTCAGAGGCTGCACTGTCCCTGGTATTCCAGCATCTCCTCTGCTGAGCCTGAGCACAGCCCCAGCCCCAAGTGCTCCAATAATTCAGAATTTGGGCAGCACAGCTTCAGCTCAAGGCAGGAGGGCAGCCTTTTCCTTAAAAATCCCTTGGCTCATCCCTCAGGGTACAGTGGGACAGCACAGTGCAAACCAGCTGGGTGCCAATGSTTCTGCAAGCCTAAGAGATGATGGTAGTGGAAGCCAGACTCTACAAGCAACTTAGAAGATATTTTTGAAAAGAAATGTATTTTCTTCATAAATACAGTACAATTACATTTTACAATGTCTTTTTACTTCCTAGACATAAAAACACTAACTTTTACAAAAGAGTTCCTATACAAATACATGAAAAGAGAGATCCCCCCTCCCCAGAGCGCCCCGTCCCCAGCCCTGGCACGGAGCAAAGCTGCTGGCAGCACAGTGAATCCCAGGATAACCTGTGCCAGCCCTAGGGAAGAAGCCTGGCTATCCCAGGGTTTTCCTGCCTGGCTATCCCAGGGTTTTGCTGCCTGGCTATCCCAGGGTTTTCCTGCTCTGCCTGCTCTGGGTTTGTCTCAGTGGGAAGAGCGCTCGGTCCGGCCGGGTCCCCACGGGTGTCCCACAGCTCCAGGGGCTCCTGGAGCAGGAGGTGTCCTTGGAAATGGGTCTGACCTCAAACTCTGCAGGTCCCCCCAATTCAGGCAGCCCCAAAAATGAAGCCAAGCCAATGGCCAGCTTTCAGCAAACAGCACAGACCCCACGGGCAGAACYGCAGCCCCACCGCTCCTGGTGACCYCAGCGTGACTCTGAGGAGCAGCTCACACACCCCTGCAGTCCTCAGACCYAAAATCCCTGCTCCAGAGCCACCAGGAGCTGCCAGGGAGGAGCTGTTTCATTTAATAACAACACTGGGCCAGGTGGGAACAGAAGGCTCAGAATCTCAGGCAGTTCCCCAAGCAGACAAACCACAGAGGAACTGCCCAGGGGAAGGACTTGGGAGTTTGGCCACTCTGTAAGCAGTGAAAAGAAAGAGGAAAAATAACTAAACTTCAATTTCTTGTTTTGCTCTACAAAGAAGAATATGTGGCTTTCTTTAGAAAAGCTACAATTCTGCTCCTAATACCCGAGTTTAAGAAAAACTCTTAGTCTAAAATTTTGGTTTGCAAAGGTCGTTGCAATCACTGTTAAAAACCACTTTCTACTAGAAATAAGCTCTACAGAGGGCAAAGGGACTAGGTGTGCAGTTTGTCTCCTTAAAGCAGTTTCTGTTTAAAAACACAATAAAAATCTGTACAGAGGCCGAGGACTATGGGACACACGCTCCTCAAAGCAAGCAGCTCGTTTACATTCACACCAGGATGGCTCTGAGGAAGCTCCAGGGCAAGGATACATTCCTGATGGCTCCCAAGCTTGTCAGCACAGGAAAATGACCTCCAACTTCCACATCAATTTTTTGGGGTTTTTGCTTTTTTTTTTTTTTTTTAAGAAATCAAAATTACAAAATAGGGCAAAGAGCCTGACCTAAGCAATGCCAAACTGCATCATCTTCTTCCAAAATTACTTCCATTGCCAAGGAAGTGCCAAGCTCCTGCAATCCTGATGGTTCAGGTTGTCAGAAACAGCCTGGTTTCCATYTCTGAAGGAGACAGTTGCTGTATTTTATTCACAGAAAGCTATTATGTCCTTTTTGATTTGTAAAATTAAATTACCCTGGCATTCCATTAGAAAACAGTGAGCTGCAAGGAGGATAAACTAATTATTTTCACCTGAACAGCCAATACTGATTGGGCAAAATCAGTTTTCTGAAAGATTTTATCTGTAAAAGATCCAAGTTTTCCCAGACATTTCAGAATGAATGTGAATCAAGTGAGTTGTAACCATTTATCTGGAGCCCTACKGTTATAAAACTTCTTTCCAGCTGCTGAGAAGTATTTGAAAAGATGGAATATAACTTTTACTGACTCTAAAAGAAGAGAAAAGCATTCAAACATTTCTCCCCCCCTTCACACAGACACTCAATGGCATTTGATCTCCCTGGTTGATCATTTTAAGCCAAACCCACAAAATATAATATAGATACTTATGCTGAAATGGCAAAAAAAGATGGACACCTTAAGCTAACGAGAAAAGCTTCTCCTGCATTTTCAACAACTGTGGAGGAGGAAGAGAAATCTCTTCCAATCTTCCAGGGTGGGCGGCATTACTTCATGAAATGGGATGGAATTGAGCTAAGAGAAATAAAGGCAAGATGTTCTCAGTGGTGAGAAGGGCTGTGACAGTGTGCCTAGGAAGGATGGGGAATGCTCCAGAGGGAAGGAAGGTGAGGAATTTCTGGAAGCCTTTGTCCCCCGAGGCACAGCCCTGCACTGCAGCCCTGCATGTCCCAGGGGGGCTGAAGGAAGGAAGGGCTTTGGCCAGGCTGGGCTGACCCAGCGCAGCTCCTGCCCCACACACTTTGCCATTCCTGCTTTCTGCAGGACTGGGAAYATGGCATGGAGAACCCTGGAACCTGCAGCCAACCTGCTGAAAACCACGGCAAGTGTTTTCCTTGGACTTTAAGTGATTATCATTGGAAGGAAAACTCGGGGCTGACCTTGAGGCACCACCAGTGCAGAGAGAGGCACCACCTCCTCTCCCGTCCCAACCCTCCTCTGTGAGACTCCTGGGATCCCTGCAGGTCTGATAAGGCCATTTCAGTTGAACACCACAACCACGAATTAAAGACATTCACTAACTCTGTGATAATTCATTTTAAAATTAATTAATGCTGGCTTTCCTTGTTTCTGGGGTGAAACGATCTGAAATGAGAATTTTGCTGCTCTAATGCTGCACAGAAAGCTGAGACTAGCCAGGTTCCCAGAGTGTGACCACTGGCTAATTAAATATTTTAACATTCAAGTACAAAAAAGTAGTTTTTAACAGAAATTAATATTGAAGTGTTTTAATAAAATGCAAAGACAGTAACAAAAAAATACTCATGTACTTCTATTGGTCTTAATATCTCCTTATAGTTTCTGTAACCAAAGCACTGCTGCATCTGTGCCAGTTCCCAAAAATCTGGAAGTGAACCTCATGACTTAAATATGTAACTTTCTTCTGTAATGCCTCTGGGACTTTCTTTAAGCTGCTCTCTCCACTCAGATGAATTAAAGAACTATTTTGAAAGGAGAGAATCTGCCATCTGAACCTTTGCACGGAGCTTCTCTTGRAAGCTCTACCTCTGAGGCTTTGCTCTGTGAAAAAGAATCCATTCTCTCCAGAAAGGAGGGACATACAAAGTTGAAAGGCATTTGAAATATAGAAAAAGTCTGCCACAGAGAAAAGATCTCCACAGATGCAGTAGATTAAGCTGCTAACACTGAAAAGCAACAGGGCTTCCCACTTGCACTATGGTAAATTTGGAGTAGTTTCACTAAAGCCAATGGAATTACAAAGTCAGAAAATTGATCTAACAGATCAGGGCTGGGCCTGTAAAATCTTCTTATTAATTTATGTAAAACATGAATGCAATATATTATTTACTATCCACTGTACAAATTATTGAAAAAGTACTTAAGTATAAAAGTCTGGCAAATCTTGCAAAAGGAACTACAAATATGAAATGCGACATTAATCACCGGAGTAATTTGTTTTAATAAAGAAATAATAAAGAAATTTGGGAAGTAAAAAAAAATGTTACCACACTGAAAATGGAAATCTTTTCAGCCTATAAGTATGAAATACCTATTCTGAGTTGTTACACTGAGAGTAAAGAGGAAGTGAAAGGGAAATCTCCCTTGATCACAGCTCAGATTTATAAAAGCTTCCCAGAACACCTGTATCCTACAACCATGAAGTGATGCTCACAACAGTCCCTGGTTCTCATCATTTTAAGGCCATTGAGCTCACCTTACTACATTCAGGCTAGACATGTAATCAGCACCTGTGAGAGCAGGTACTTCTGTTTCAGAGACTTTAAAAACACTGAAATGAAATATCAGATGTAGTGCACCTAAGTTCTAGTTTTTTTCTCCAGATGTTACCAGATCCAGTATTCAAAAAATAAAGGGGGAAACTTTCCAAGAACAAGTGTTACGGGTTTTTTATAATTTAGAACAAATTATAAATTAACCTGTCCAAACTTTTGAGACATAATATACAAGAGCAAACAGCTGAGTGTTCTTTTATTACTCAGGTACTACATTTTCTTTTTTCCCAATAAAAATGTCTTTTAAAAATTTCTTGCTACTGTTATCCCAGCTCAGCTCCTGGCACAGCCTTTCAGATGAGGTATTCTACCATTTCTCCATCTGGGAGGTCCTGCCCCACAGTCTGAACAGGGGCTTTTCTTTCAAGAGTGCTGGAGTGGAAGAGTGGCCCATCTACATGATGAGGAAAAAGAGACAGACATTAAAGGTGTAACTTCAGTCATGTTAGAAATATGACTTTTAACATTTTAAGCCATCTTCTATCATTGGCCAAAGACAGCTAATAACTTATTTAATTCTAAAAAATTCAATTCCCATGTATGCAGCCAGACAAATAAAGCTATTTTATCAAATTTCCTTTGGGTACCTCCCACTGATACACAAATCCACATAAACCTGGAGTGACTGCATTGGTTTAAATTTTAAATGGCAGATTTTCACCACCAGACCTGTTCTCTCTCGATTCCCATTAAACAGCACAGCATGGGCAGGAGGCAGAGCCCAGCCAAACGCTCTCTGCCATAAAGAACARCAGCATTGTAATGTGTCTGTAAGGAGAAGAGGCCAGGTTGTGTAATCTGCATTGATTTGGCAGAGTGGGCTGGAAAATGAGCAGTTCTTGCCAGCTGGGAGCTCTGTGGGAAGCAAATTCAGCCCCTGTGACAGTCCCTGTCAGTTGGATCTCCGAGGCTGCAGTCAGTCCTGTGGCTGGRGTGGTACTGAGATGGCGTTTTGGTGACAATTCCCTCTCCTTCCTCTCTCTCCCCTTCTCTGAGTCCACTTGGCTTTGGATGCCCTCACTGCAATGGCCCCTTAGAACAGCCTATTTTCATGTGCTGTTTAAATCCCACAGTTTAGAGTAGACACTGACTCAGGCTGCCCAGGGATTTGCATTTCCCTGTTCTCAATTCCCAAATCTYGCTGCACCTCCCTGCCCAGTGTGCCCACACTTATGCTACCACTCTTCAGGTTTTTCTCCCTTCAGAGCATTTGAGATCATGCAGAACACTGTCACACTTGTCCCAAAATCCACTTGYTCTCACAAGAACTAACCCCGGTTTGCCTGGATGGAGAAAGGGACGTCAGGGCTGCCCCACAGATGGGGAGGGGGTGGTAGGTTGCCCTGGGACAGCAGTGTTACCTGTTTTCTCTGCACTGTAGGTCAGGTTGGTGCTGGGGAGTCGTGCTGGGGTGGGAGCTGCAGGGGAAGGAGCAGCTTTGCCCTGCTCACTGCCCCGGTCTGTCTGGGTGCTGCAGTCTCTGCTGCCTGTCTTGGAGTGGGCTGACAGCAAGGGCGTGGAGGGCAGGACAGGAGATGGCGTGGAGGGGATGGATTCCGAGCGATATTCCGTTCCCAGCAGGACACCTGCATGGGGAAAGGGAAGGAAACATCACAGTCACAGAAACACAACCTCTGTTAGCTCTGCACCAATCTGCACTGCTTGCTCTAGGACCTGCAAAGTGCTCCATCCCTCAAGAACCTGCACTGCTTTGCCTTTCCACAGCACCTTCCAACCCCGGGTGCTGAAGTACCCGAGGAACAGCAGTGTCCTCATGTTGCTGCTTGCAGGTGGGCACGAATCTGCACACTCCAAAATCACCTGCAACAGCTTCTCATTTACATTTCAGGGATTTTTACCTTCAGAGGGAGGGCCTTTATGCCTAACTTCTCCCAGGAAAAAAAATTAATCTGGGATTTGCTTTGTTACAACTCCTTTTCTCAGAACAATGCTGTTGAGCCATTCCAGACAGGAGTCAAGYTGGTGCAGGCACAACACTGCAGGATAGAAATCCTGATTAGCATCTCTGCTCCAATTCAAGGAGACTTCAAACCTTCAGCCAGCTGTAACACCCAGCTGAAAGCAAGTGCTTGGAAGCCTTGAAAACTATATCCCAGACTTTCCTAAAGTCAGGAGCCAAATTAAGGAATAAAGGCTTACATAGTTCAAAGACAGGGCCTGGACATCAGAAGTCATTATTTACTAAAAGGTATTAAAAGAAGCARCTATTCCAAACGTTCCCATCTTGCTGCAGCCTGGCCAGCTGGTCTGTGTGTCCAACACACCCTCCTCTGCTGCCCCTGCCTCCCCTCCAGGCAGTGGCTCATTTATCAGAATTGCCACCGGTATTTGGGAATTACCCAAGCTGCCCTTCCAGCTCTTGTCCTCCCTCTTCTCCTCCAGGATGGGGGTGCTGCTCAGCGTTGAGGAGTGGGACAGCAAGCCCGAGCCAGCRTTGGAGATGGACATGAGGGACTTGGCTGGTCTCATGGAGGAGAGCTGCTCTGTCTTGCCGGGCTCCTTGCGGGAACGCTGCTGCAGCACCTTGATCATGGCATCCTTCTCGATGATCTGAGCRTGCAGGGTCTTAATCCTTTGGGGGAAGGAAAAAGGGCAGTTTCAGTGTCTCCTGTCTCCCTGCAAAGAGGCCTCAGTGTCCCTATGGCTGTGATTAGGCTGCCTTGGGCTTTTGGGGAGGCAGATGATGGCAGGAGATTGTTCTGGGCACTGGCTGCTCTCTGGCCACAGAGCAGATCATGCATGATGGAGGGCACTGATACACCCACCCACCTGTGGCTACTGAAACTGCTCCAAACAGCCATGGAAAGGGCTTTGAGACCAACCTGAGAGCTATAGGCAGGATATGAGACCAAGAGAAAGAATKAACACACTTTGGGGAGTCTGCACTKGACCTAACACCAGGGAAAACAGTTCTGTGAGCCTGTTAAGGGGTGGCTGAAGCCTGGGGTCTGATGAAGATGCCCTGAAGGGGAAAGAGGAACAAGCTAGATGCAAAAAATGTAAGACAAGACTTTTTTTGCATTASCCCTCAGTATCAAGACAGGTTTTGGATTGCTGTGTAGGTAATTCYTTGGCCAAATGAGTGTCTGGCATCTGACATCGCTGCTGCTGGTAAAGACACGAGAATTTCTGGTTCTGAGGCGTCTACCCAGGCAATTAATTTAAAATTCCTGTCCCAAAGAAGCCAGATAGGACCAAGCTGCACTTTACCTTCCCTCCATGTCGAGACATCTCCTGTTGGCCAGCAGGATCTCCTCCTCCTCCTTCTGGATGCGAGCTTCCAGCGAKGTGTCGTAGCTGGGGTTGGGCGAGTGGCTGATCACCGTTGTGTCCCTGGGAACAGGCAGGGCAGCACATGAAGGACCTGCTAAGTTTGCTGCTTTCCCCCAGCAGCACAAAAGTATTGTTCAAAAGTAATAAACAAATAAAAATATCCACTTTTTTTTTTTTTAAGCTGTCTCAGTGTCTTGCAAAAATCCAACTCCCAACCTCATTTGCGTTCTAATGAAGAAGGAGTACAAAAACCTAGAGATCATTACAACAACAACYTCCTGATCCATCTCAAGCCAGTCCTTCATCTAAACCAAGTCACTGCACTACTCTGATCAATGAGGCAAATCCAAGGACACASAGGGGAAAAAGAACACCAGGCACTTTTCTTCAATTGAAACAGCACAAACGTCATTTCAGATACAAAGCTATTTCCTTTCCCTTTCCAGCAGTATCATACAGGGGATATGAATATCAAAGGGAACAAGGTATGGAAGTTTCTTAAGCAATCCTAAGCAGTTTCRTCCAAAAAACTTGAAATGGGCTGAAAACAATTTCAGACTAAYTCCATATAGTGCCTAATGTTAACACTGTGATAGTTGGTCAATCCATGTGGTGGTTTTGCTCAGTTCAGTTTTTTAGTGGTGGGGGATGCAAAGCAAATAATGAGTATTTCATTCTATTTGTGAATGTGGAAGGCAATGAAAAGATCATTGAAACCCAACCTGATCCAGTTCCTGCCTGTGCCCTAAAGCATCTTCCCTGCAGCCTCAGTTTCCTAAGGGATGCCAGTTCCCACTGCTAAAGAGAAGGGAAAAAAATCTGGACAGAGCAGATGAGGTTGCCATTGGAATTAGTGAAATCTAGATGGAAATGGAAAAACAGAGGCTCTTCACGGACTGAACAACAACWCTGTGGTTCGTTTCATGAAACCTGAGCAGGCCTAACACATCCCCTCCCACTCCACGATAAACAATAGACTGGGCCCCAACTTATCAGCCCACGCTGGAAATGTAACACAGCCTCTGAGCACAGCAGCAGCAGGAGCCTTYGGGGAATCTCTGGGGAGGTGGCAAACACTGTACAAGGAGCATCAGTACCCTAAAATAACAGCTTGCTTCTGGAGCAAGATTAGATAAGTGTCTAAACGCTAACACAGCAGATCTGCAGCTTCACCCCTGTAATTCCAGTGTGATCCTACAAGCTGGGAAGCCAGTTGTGATAACATCCCTATCTGGATCTGGCTCATGAAACAATCTACAGGAAAATCTGCTGTCCAGAACCATAAACCAGGGAACAAGGAAATGATGTGCAAGCCAGGACTAATGCTAAGGAGTTGCACTCCAGTAATAGCTCTTGTTTACCAACCAGCTGAGGCACCCAGGCCTATTTACAGCCATAAAAAAGTGTATTTTCTGTTTCTGTACACTTGTCTTGGAATGGGAGCTTGTTACCAAATTTCAGACACCCTTCCCACCCCCACAAGCAGCGCTSTCCCTGCACAGCAGAATGTTTTGAGCAGAATTTCCTAGTAGATGTTTCTGGTTTGTAACCAGAMAATACCACAAAGTAATTTGCAAAAACATTCTGGAGAACAAGGGAAGCCATTCAGGGTGAATGATGTGAATCACCAAGCTCACCCCATCTCACATGACTTCAGCAAGGACTGATTCCTGTTTTAAAAATAAAAAACACCCAAGCCTCTTCTCCTTTGAATCAACAGCTTCTAGGAATGGCTCAGAACAATTCTAGTCTGGAAAATGGCTCCTGCATGTGGAGGAATCTTCCCCTGGAAAAATGTTTCGAACTGCTGGCAATTGCACAGCTCCCAGGAAGAGAAGCCAAGCTCCATGTGCTTGCAGAGGTCTGAGGAGCTGTTCAGACCACAGGGTGAGCAATTACGGGAGGGAGGCATGACAACATCCCTGGGTGGGAAATATGACATTCAGCTGGAAAAAGAAAATAATCCCRGCACTGTGAAAAGTCCCATTTACCTCTGAGCAGCCACGGTGGCAGCTGCATCCAAAGCAAACTGTCTCATCACACTTTCCTCCAGGTATTTCTGTTCCCAYTTGGTCATGTCAGCTTCCAGAGCAAGGATCCTCTCCTCCTTCTCCCGCAGGAGCTCCATCAGTGCTGTGGCGTTGTACTCGGACACGTTGGCAGCCTGAGACGTGCCCTGACGCTGATTCCCAAGAGAAAAAAACACAAACAAAACAAAAATAGAAGTCTCAGGATGCATCTGTAAGGCTCTGGGTTGGCTGGTTTGCTTTTTGCCACTGGTTTGACACAAGAAACCCCCAGAGGGAAATACAGTGGCTTTATGCTGTGTTGGGCAGACTTACAAGAAAACACCTGAGATGGAAAATACTCCTCCTAAGGCCTTTTTTCCATGTGTAAAGCCMCAAATATGCATCTCAGAGCCAGACTGTGCCATACAGGTGTGATGTTCACAGACTGATTCCACCAGTGTTCAGCAAAGCACTAAATATTATACAAGAGTTATCACCCTTTCAGAAAAATACATCCAAAATATTTTTAAAGGATTTGTTTATTAAATTAATATGATCAGTRTATAGCTGGAGATTTAAGTAATTCAGCTCTCAAGCAAGATTTAGAAGGCAGGCAGTGCACCCTTTCAAAATAAGGAAGAGCGGAGATTTRCTCAGATGATAGGGTTAAAAATTAAAATAAATGGTCTAAAAGAAAATAAATTGGGCAGACAAGCTATTTTAGACTGAGCTCAGAATTTTTAACCATGACAAGAAAGTAATTTTTTGGGTTGGTTCAGGCTCAATGCAAAAAGCTGTGGGGTTTAGAGCACCTGATCTTCCAAGGTGTAACATAAAAGTTTATCAAATTACTTTAACTTCTTCTGAAACCAAAACAGACCCTCAAGATTTAAATATCCATTCCTATGCACAGGTGAAATTTAGGGGATAAAAATAACCTGAAACTCAGTGTTAGAACACAGACCTCCATCCTCTTTCCAGTAAAATGYAGACACCTGACAGTTCACCTGTGCTCAACCGAGGCTGAAGTAAAACTGAAACTTCACATTTAATTAATAACAAACCTGCTCAAACTACTTCTCATTCATTCTTTTCACTGAAAAACACTCTTAATATAATTGCAATATGGTCTGTGTGAAACTCTCCTCCATTTCCATCAACTGCATTTACAGAATGGTCTTTGCTGATTTAGTCTTGTGTGGTTTTTTTTAAAATTCAAAAGTTTTTTGAAGGGCCTCTTTTCAGGCCAATTGTTAATGGATTTTATATGAAATCCCAAAATGTGAATAATAATGTGATTAATAAGATAATTTCAACCCAAATATAACCAGGTTACTTAGATAAAACAGCATGTGGCTATTTCTGCACCTTGGCACAGGATGCATCCCCTGTTGCTCCTTATCTACATGTTCTGGTCGAAACCAGAATTAAATCAGGTAAAAACAATACAACAGCCAGCAAATGCATGACTGTAGCTTGTAAAAGAAAAGCTTGTAAAATCCCAGTGCCTTTCCCTTCAGTGTGGTGCAGGTGCAATCCCCCAAGGAGCCAGGGGTACCTGCTGCATGCGGAGCGATTCCAGCTCGCGCTCCAGCCGGGTGCGCAGCCGGTGCTCCAGCTGCTCCCTCTTCTCACACGCTGCCTGCAGCTGAACCAAGGCCTGCTGCATCTTCTCCACCTTCTCCACGTAGACCTGCTTCTTTTTCAGCTGAAACAAAGCAAGAAAAGGCAACAGAAGTTAAATAATGAGAATGAGCGAGTGGACTTCGGGCTTTGCCACCAGGCCGGAAGAAGATGTGATTTCCAGAACCTGAAGGGAGCCCACGAGAAAGATGGAGAGAGACAATTTACAAGAGCCTGGAGAGACAGGACACAGGGAATGGCTTCCCAGTGCCAGAGGGCAGGGTTAGGTGGATATTGGGAAGGAATTCTCCCCTGTGAGKGTGGGCAGCCCTGGCACAGGGTGCCCAGAGAAGCTGTGGCTGCCCCTGGATCCCTGGCAGTGCCCAAGGCCAGGCTGGACAKTGGSGCTTGGAGGAACCTGGGGTGGTGGAAGGTGTCCCTATGGCAAAGGGTTGAAACTGAATCATCTTTAAGGTCCCTTCCARCCCAAACCAYCCCATGATTCCAGGTCTCATGACTGCTGTCAGTGAGCCTTGGCCTCCTGCTCTGGACTGAACCCTCAGGATGTTTCAGCTCTGTCCCATCTCTGCCTTCCTGCTGGGTGTATTTGTCCTTTTTATCCTCAGTGACCCCATGGCAATGATGAGGAAACAGAGGAAATTATCTGAGAGCAGCAATGGACTAGAAAGGGCACCAGGGATTGAAAGAGTGTTTGAGTGACTCGACACATGTTTCCAAGGTAACTGCAGCAGTGTTTAGAGCTGGTCCATGAGCTGGGAACACTCTCAGTGCAATATTGAAAATTGCTGGCAGCATTTTCACAAGATTAAGCAGAATCTAAATCAAAACTTGTGGGGTCCTGTTGCAGTCCCATCCCAATAAAATAATAGGATCAAAGCACACACCAGCCATGGCCCAGGCTCTCCCCATGCCAGGTTTATCCAGGTTTATCCCAGCAGTCTGGACATTCATCCTGCTCTGAGAGGTCCTGCTCTGTTCCTGCCACTGCCCTTCCACCCTCCATTGCTCATGCTGCAAACCAAGCTGCCATCCTGCCTCACAAGAAGCAACAAAAACTGCCACACTGAGCCCCCGGTAACAGTCGCAGCAAGCTTAATCCACAGTTCAGGCAAGACAAAAAAAAACCTAAAATATGAATTAAAAAAAAAAAAGAATAAAATATACCGAGGGCCTAGCTCTATACAAATATAGGGAATACTGCACACCTGTGGGCATTATTTTCTGTTAAGGAAAAAACTAACAATTGCAAATTAGCTGGCCCTGTGCAGCAAATCTGGGGCACTGCTTTTGTAGCTCTGATTGTCATAAACCCTGAAATACAAAAATAGCAGGAAGAAGGCAACGTTTCCCAACAGTCGGAGCCAAAGTTCTAGAGAAGCACCACAATGCAAAACACAGACTCCCTTATGTGAGTTCAAAGAGCTGCTCTACAGCTTCATGGAAGAAAAGTCCACTGAGGGATATTCAAGACAAAAGAGCCCACTTTTGGCTCAGGAAGTCCTTCTTGGAAGCGGAAAGTATTCTGGGAAAGTATCACTGCTTGCTGGCCCCATTCTGACAGTGTTCCCCAGGAATGTGCTCTGGGTTTCAGCACACACAGGGTACTTTGATCAGAACAACACGAGCTGTTCTCACATCACACCTTTGTTCCAAAAACATCTTATCATCTGTTTCTTAAAAAAAAAAAATTCTCTTTTCTCTCTCCTGTTCCTTCAGGYGATGCAAAGAGCAGAAAGAGAAGAATCTCCAAGCACTATTAATSCCAGATATAAAATCCTTTTCTTCTCTCCATAAAGTCAGCAGGCATCTAATGTCACAGCATGAATGCTGCTGCCTTAGAGGATTTTCCCCAAACAAGAATTTTATAATAAAAGTTACAACAAACAGTGAGCAATCCAGCCAAAGGACTTCCCACCAGAGAATGTACAGTAGAAAGGTATTTTTGTTCTTTGATTGCTCAAGGTTTCAAGCTTATTTGGAATGGGAGGGAAAATATGTTCTAATAAAATTTAATACTCCACTGCTGCACTGCAGAAAATCAATCAATATGTTATATTTAATAAATCTTTTTATTTCAGATCATAGTGCTTGTTATCACCAAYTTAGGGTTTCTCAGACTCCACCAAAGTGGCGATTAATGCACCAATTTTAAATTTAGATTAACAGCAGCTCAAAATAGTCAAAAGTGATGAACTATAAGGCCAGCAGTAGAACCCAGAAATAAAGAGCACTCAGTATCTTGGGTTTTGACCTGGACAAGAGTGAAGAATAACCCAATAAACTCACTAACAGTGAAATACTATGCATCAAGCTGAAAAATAATCCCTTCAAAACCAGCTCTCTTCCCTCTCTCTTCTTTATAAAAGAAATTAAGGACGAGGTGATGGACATTTGGTCTCTCACTACCCACTACAAAGCATTTAAATTTCTTAACACACAGGCAAAATCCTGCAAAAGCAGCCACTGACAACATTTTAGTTTCACAATTAACAAACCTGAGTATGCATATGTGTGGATTAACGTTCTGGCCTGCATTCAAAGAATACCAAGAGCCCAGCCAAAAAGCAGAATTAGGACACAGAAATTCCACTGAAACATTCACTTTGAACGTGCTCCCATCAGCCAAACCTGCAGGTGAAAAGTTGCAACACAAAAGCTGTTGCCCAACTTCCCAGCACTGCCTGCACACGCCTGGCTCGGGCACCAGACCCAACACACAGGCACAGCTTGTTCAGTGGCTTTGCAGAAAGACAACATTTTTTTCTCCCTTCACAAGATGCACTTCATCTTCCAGCATCAGGACGAATTAGGAATGTCAGAAGATTCAGGACTCGTGTGTGTATTTGTTTTAACAACTTAAAACCAGAATTAATTCAGGAATTCCTCGAATAATTTTCAGGGTTTTGGAACCCAGGTGTTCACTGAGATTTAAAGGCAGGGATGTGCTCCAGACAACTGAACTCTTCTAATGTCTTTTGTCAGAATTATACTTTATCTRTAAGGTTTTTACATTTCACGCACTTGCTGCACTCAGTTAAGTCACTGCCTATTCTGTCACTCATTCATTTCCAGCTCTGCCACTCTGCTTCTGCAAGTATTTGTGAGGACAAAAATTTGTCTTCCTGTGAACCAGGATTCTCCAGAAGAGGTGGAAATGAAATCTAAATTTATAAATTTTTTGTTTCCTTCTTCCTGATTTGATCTGAACTTTCAATGTAAAGAGGATAAGGAATAATTTTTCCAAGCACAGAGGGATTTCATTACCAGAAATCGAGAGTTTGATCTTGTTTTCCTAAGAGAGGAATTGGAAACAATTTCCTGAGCACTGCCAGGGTGCTGAAGACATAACTAAGATGGGAAGAAGGAAAAARGGCAGCGTGTTAAAGCTCGTTCTTGGTTATTTGCCATGGATTCCCCACCCTCCCTCTGCCAGCAAGGAACCAAAACCAGCTGCGTGGTGCCAAGGGCCTCAGCAACATCCACCAGGACAGAGATGGCATCAGAGGACRCAGGAATTCTCTCCTCTGCATCAGGCCTGGCAGTGAACACGTGCTCTCGATAGGAGCTCATTCCTGAAGCTTTACAAGGGTGCAGTCACACCCTCTGGTATGTAATTTTAAATAAATTGGACAAGATAGTAATTTTCCTTTTGATGGTACAGCATTTAACTGAGAAGCAAGCTCATGTTCACATAACTGCTCTGCCTCCAAGGGTGCTCTGAAAATGCAGAGCATTTTGCTAATGAGAATATCTTTATTGTAACACCTATTTAGGATGTTACAGATTTAAATCACCTCAGTGCATGTCTGGCAGCACAGCACAGCACAGCACTGCAGGATGGCTGTATCCCTTCCCAGCATTTCCTACAGCACAACTTTATAATACCCTTATCATCTCCAGGTCAGTCCCTCAAYGCTTTGGAAAACGTCCTAACCAAGCATCAGAGGTCATCATTTTATCAACAAAATTTTCTAACTAAACCAATACAAACAAGAGCAGTCCCTCTCCAGTTGCCATTTACTACAAAGTTTACGTAAATTCTGCAACAGGACTGAGGACAAGGAAAATAAAGATGACCAGGAGTGGCATGGGCTCTGCAAAAATCCAGTGCACAAAGCAATGCAAGGATTTGAAACCCCCTGCAAGATTCCCTGGCTGCCTGATCAAGTATTTCCAGCTTCATTTGATTTCCTCTCTCCCTTGGTATGTACTTGCATCATCTAAAATCAATGGCAAAGGTTTTCCCCTCAGAAACAGATATATTTGATTATTACTATAACTGTCCAGCCAAAAGGGGATCAACATCCTAAARGCCAAACCAATCCTGTTTCTCCATTTATTTAGGCTTTGACAAACCATGCAAACCCTTTCAGGGATTCTTGCAGAAGCAAGGCTCTGAGGAGGGCACGGAGGTTTCATGGAAAGGGAGCAGGGGCACACAGGAATGAGGAATTTTCAGTCAAGTCACCAGTCACTGTAACATCCTGGAGCTGCCTCTGCAGGACAAACACAGCCCTGGACACAGCAGGTGAGGGGGGAGGATCTTCTTTTTGGAAAGAGATTCATTGCTTCCAGATGTGTTACTCAGCAAAGATTTTTTTTTTTTTTTTTTCCTGGGGAAGAAGAGAAGACTTCCTGCAATGATTCAGAACTCTCCCAGGCATTTTGTCAAACCCAACCATTATCCTCCTCATCTTGGACAGCTCCTATTTCAACAAATTGGTAACACTCGTCAGCATCTGCTTGTCTCCCACCCACTATTTCTKATGTCTTCAAAGTCCTTTGTTTAATAAATTCAGGGTGTTTCCATAACATTCTTGGTTTATTCTAATGCTGAATCCATTCAGATGCAGCTGAAAATGTGTTTCCCCACAAGAATTTGCCTGCTATGGCAGAAATGTAGTTAAAAAAAAAAAAGAAAAAAGAGACACAGCAAGCACGTTTAAATCACCTCTCCCTCTCACAGTTGGAATATATTCCTCCAGGATGCCTTTGAACCCTCAGTTTGTTTGAATTCAGGCCCAAGAAGGCGCCAGTGGCCTCAGCAAGAATTCCTGCTGAAACAATTTGGTAACACCATCCCCTTGCTAGGGAACAGCGTTTGTGGCGTGGGAATGTCACAACGTCGTCACCCCGTTTGTTTGTGTTAAAAGAAGTTCTAAACTGTCCAAGCCACCTCTGGAAAATCACTGCCAGGCAGAATATGTGAGACAGTGACAGGGCAATAAAAAGSCACTTCTGTCCCAAGAATGGGGGTCATTAGAGGGAACTGGTCACAGGGAAAACAGGGAGGTTTCTCTCCTCTGCACCCAATCCATCCAGGAGTGACAAGCCATCCAAAAAGTGTCCCCTTTAGAAGCAGCTCTCTCCTGAAAGGAGTATTATGTAGCTCTCAGAATCTGAGTGAAACAAAGCTGTGGAGACCAGGACTATCTTTTTATAAACCCAGGGAAATGACTGGAGAAAACCGGACCAGGCATCCAGCAGACAGCTCTCCTTTGGGTCTCCTCCCTACAARCCAGAGCTCTGCTCTGAAAGTATCTCAGGAACAGCTTAAAAAGTACAATAGATGTCATTGGGAAATGCATTTTCCTGTTTCCCCCAGAGAGAACCCTCAGTGTTATCAGAAGTAGAGCGTTATTTCTCTCCACAGCAGCACAATGGGAAGTGAACACGGTATCTCAGCTGGTATCTGCTCATGTTGAATTCTGGTGGCTGAGGGATCACAGAACTTCTAAACACAAGCACTTTTAAGAAAGATATTTCATTCAAATTTGTCCCTTCCCTCAGCCCTCAATTTCCACCCATTAGAGAGGTCATCTATCTCCTCTTCCCACTGCAAGGTGGGAATGGAGAAAATATGAGGATGGCAAAAAGCRGGTATTTTTATCTCCCTGGTGGTTGTCACTATTCTTCAAAGCTGTCTCCTTGAGGCACTCAGTAAAAAAGAGCTTTGTAAAGTGGTGGAGCAAAGGAGTACAAGTTACTTTAAAAAAACCCACCAACTTTTCTTAAGTTGAAGCGTGGTCTTCCACAGTATGAATTAAATAGGGTAAGCAGAAATGAYCAAGTTTGAGAAAAGATCTGGAAATTCTCTTTTTTTTAAGGAAAAAAAAGTAAAACCAGTGGTACCTGCAGCCTCAACCCTGCTGCCATCCCACTTGAGACCCTCACAGCAATCTGTGTTCCCAAATGAGAATTTTTCATTGCCTTAGTTCCAAATATTATTATTACTAACTATTTCTGACTGTGAGGTACATTTTTAAGCCAACATATATTTTACCTCAAATATGTTCAATTTATGTCAAATGTATTACATGTAATGAAAATAATCTGAAGTTTTGATTTTAGAAACCACAGACCAATACAGCACTGGGAACAATTTTAGTAAACTGCTKATTTATTCAAAACTGTGGTACATTTACTAAAGGCAAGAACGAAAATAGAGAAGTAAAAACAGGGGTTAATAACTGTGTATCTTTATGGAGAGTAGAGAAGTAGTAAAGTTTAAATATTATATATAAAACATATACATACTTAGCAATTCTGTACATAGAYATATTTAAGTTTGCTTTAAATATTTATGATCACTCACCCTATTTTGCACTTTGCAGAAATAGACCCCACACTATCAAAACCTTTAACRGCAGCTTGTTCTAAATTTGAAGAGCCATTTCACCCCTGCTAACAGGGGAAGCATCTGTGAATGCCTACTTTGGCTTCCAACTGCTTCACACTGTGCTTCAGTATCTCCAGGATCACTCCTTCCTCCATCACATTTAGCATCCCTTTATCTCCCTTTCACTCTCACTTGGATGCTAAAATCTCAAACTACAAAAACTCAAAGCTCCACAGGTGTAGACTGTAGAGTGTCTGCATTTTACAGATGGGTGGTTTTGTCCAAAGTGGCAATTCAAGCGAAGGATTTTGAAAAGAATCTGAAGTTCCAATTCCAATGCAACATTTAAATTCAGTTACAGTGATATACAGCTTATAGCTCTCCCTAGAATGGAAATACTCTTTATAAAGAATATTCTGGTGCAGAATATAAGGCAGGGTTACTCTGCTTAATAGGAAGTCAAAATGGAAAGGGGAAAAAAAAGCTGAAAACTTACATTACAGGATGCAACAACTGAAAAATGCATTCCCCCTCAGGCCCTGAGCCAGAGCGTCTTCCAAACCTGAGCCTAAGAAACTCCACCCTCTTCTACAGGATGAGTTTGGAAATTCCTGACACTTACAGGGCCTAATCACTCAGATTAACCTGGCAGGAATAAAGAAATAATCCACAAACTGTTCATATCTCATGGCCACTGAATGCCACTAACTCAGAATGGTGTTTCCAGCCCCTTCTMAAGGTGCCCTGAGCTCTGAGCAGCTCCTTGGCTGGGGAGTTACCAAACAGCCTGGGGATTTGAGAACTTTCCACAATCTAACACTAATGAGGCAACAAATGCCTCCTAATCCTAAGTATTTCATTAAAAAGTGATTTGGGAAACCTGCAAAAGTGACTCTTTACCCTTTGCTTCCCCTTATTCCCTCTCACCTCTAGGAAAAAGCAGAGTTAATTCCTGCTCCCTCACTGAGAYGCTTCCATATTTATCTACAGCAGGAAGGGTGGCACTTCCTGCACACCCTGGGATTCGAGCAAAGGTTGGATGCATGTGACCACAAGCCCTCATGCAAATCATTTCACTCTGTATCAGTCTGAGTGGGTTTTTTAAGCTATCTTGCAATTTAGCCCAGTTATTTACCTATTTCTCTATTCTACCTAGGCAGAAACACTTTGTCACAGCACTGAACCCAAATCTGCCAGTAAAAYTCTTTTGAAAATAAAACATATCATTATTATTACCCCTCAAGGCTTCAACTTTATTGTGAGTGAGCCAAAATTAGTGCCTACACAGAGTTTCAACCCAGCCAAGTGCTGTGTGTGCTCAGCCCAGCTGATCACAGCACCTCATCCACCTTGACTCCAAGCATTTTCCAGGGAAACCACAAGGATGGCCTGTGCACATGGGAGTGAGTGACACATCAGGCTTTGAAATAAGCTGCTGAAATTTGAGTGAAAGCCAAAGAGCTCCCATACATTGCAGAATCAATGACAGAACAGTTGAAGAGCCAAAGGGAACCATGTCACATATAAATTACCCTATAAACAAATACGTTATATATAGCTCCCTGTCCCCTGAGTGACAAAGGTAAGTCAGCCATGCCAAGCTAAAAGGGTTATGACAGCCARGTAAACCCATAACAACATCCTAAAGGAGCAGAGCAGGTCCAGGGAAGATCCAGAAGGACTGAGGGAAGGCTTCCATTAAGAGATTAAAGGAAAGGCAAAAATTAAGGGCACCAGGGAAAGAGACTCAGGAAGGGTCAGAGGAAGGGGTGTTGAGGCAAATCCAGAGCCCAGAGAAGGGCAGGCTAAAATTCAGAGAGCAGCTACACCTGTACCTGGGAAAGGAGGATATTCACTTTGCATTTGATCATTCCTCCTCTCTCAGCACAGTGGGATCCTGAAGGGAGAGAGAACTAAAAGGGGAGGGTTTGAGGAATGCCTCTGAAGGCAGCAAAATTCAGGTGGCTGTAGGCACAGTGCCCAGCTGAGGGTGAGGCAGAGGGCTGGTAGCCAGGCAGATGGCAGGATTGGAGAACAAATCTGCAGCGAGGAAGTGTGCTTGGTCAGGAGATTTCCTCCTGAGACTCTCCACGGAGGAAGAGTAGGAGTAAAGGAAGCAGAGGCTGCAGTGGAAATGGGGCCTCGGAGAGGAAAGCCGTGGGCAGGGGGAAAGAGGACAGACACCGTGACGCAGGAGGGCACAGAGGTGAGAGCCATGAGTGGCAGGGACAAGGCTACAAAAGAAACTGCTGTGAAAGCTGCCCAGCTAAGCAGMTCAAATGCATTATCCCCTCTTGGGAGGAAAGGGAGAGAAAACAACAAAGGTCATGCCCAGTGTATTACAAATCTGGGCACACATGGTGATCTGCACTGTCCTCACACCTGGCAAGGGGACAAGCTGCATTYGTCTGATATTACTTGAAAGTCCACCCAGATCTGAATTCCTGCCAAGASCAGGAGGTTTCCAGGGCTGAAGCTTCAATTCCAGCCCATTTTCACAAGTTGAATCAAAAAGAAACCAAAATATGGCTGCTTAGACAAAAGCACTTCCAAGTAAATACAGATTTGTGGCTTATCTGTTKAGCTAGTCAACACAAAGCTAAGCCGATAGAAACAGCTTTGAAGAAAGCAGATCTCCTTGTAACTTCCACAAGACAAATTCATTCTCACAGCCACTTTTGCTGGAGTACAAGCACCCCTGATTTCCCTCTCCCAGCATCCTTACCTCCTCCTCCAGTTTCACCACCTTGGCCTGAGCATTGTTCAGGGCCTGGTCTCGGATCTCRATGTGTCTCCGCTGGTCCTCGTTGGTGGAGCGTGCAGCAGCCAATTCTATTTCCAGTTTCTCTTTTTCCCGCTGTGTTTCCTTGTCTGTGGATAAAAAAGGGATAATTATCAACATACAGCATTTGTCTGCCCAGTTTTCAGGAGTCTTTCACTCCAGAGATGAAGGGAAGACTGCACCAGGAATTCTCACAAGGGAGAGAATGCAAATCTAGTGGTAAAAGGGAAAATAAAAGGACATGGCTTTCAAGGAAGAGAAAGACCTGTAGCCCTGAAAAACAAGTGTGGTACCTTTAAGCAACAATGTRCCACAAAGATAGTGAGAAGGAATAGAAGGTGCATCACTCAGTAGAGTTACTCAGGTAATTTGATGTGATTATGCAGATGGTTAGTGAAACTTGGCACCTCTTCACCTCCGAGCTTGCAGCAGGGGAAAACAAACTGAGTAATTTTAATATCTCAGGCTGGGGAGAGAGATGGCAGACTTGTGTGCCTGAAAAACTTGTGTCCCTTTTTTCCACACTGACCCCCTAAACTGGAAGGCTGCTCTGCCCCTTTTCAGAGGAACTCCCAGCAGTACCTTGGAGGAGGTAGAGGAGTCAGAAAACAAGTGAGCAACAAGAACTCGGCAGTCTTCCTCTACCACCCTTAATAAGGACCCCCTGACAAGAAGTGGGGCGCATACATCTGTTCTGGCATGGCTCAGAGCAGAGCTGCCACCCCAAACACAGCAGTTCATCCTTGCTGCTCTCCAGGAAGAGCTGCAGAAGCAATGCTCAGTGTTGCAGGAGCAGGGCACTGCCTTCACAAAAAAACCAGATAGGATAAAAATAATTGGAGACTGGAGAAATTATCACACARGGGTGTAAGGCAAAGCCACAACACAGAGCTGATGTCCTCTGCACATGGTGCCATTCCCAGATCTAGCCAACCAGCTCCAAAGATAACATTAACCCACCTGCTGGATACAYCACCACAGAATACTCCCCGGAGTGATCTGCACCCAGCACTGATGACACCAGAGAAACTGCATTCCAGAAACCAATATCCCACGACAAAGGAATGAGGACAAGGAGTGGAAGGCTTGAAAAACAGGAACTAGGTGCTGGGTGTTAGGACAGACTGCATATGGAGTACACAGGCCCGTTTGTGCAAGCATGTGCATAACTATATTTACAGGGCCACAATTACTCCCTTTCTTCTGCCAGCAAAAAGCCAGGAGCAAAGCTTTAGCAACACAGAGCAGCTAAAGATTCCCTTCTGCCAGGGAATCAACGCAGCCCACACACAGGTTGCAAAACAAACCTGTCCACCAGCAGCACCCAGAGCTCTGCAGAGCAAACCCTGAGTGCAGCTCAGAGCCAGCTTGGGACATAAGACACAAGGATAAATGTCATCACCTGCTTATTTTTTTYCCCCCATCTTTTCCCAGCATTTCTCCTCCACCCAGGAATGAATTGCTGACAGTGTGAGCAGACTGAACTGTACTGAGGCTGAGCTGCAATGAGACAGGGTGGCATTATGCCAGCAGGTATCAGTCAGTGCCACCAGGCTGTTTGTTAGTCTGGAAATGCTTGCAGAGAGGCTTTTGGAGGTTTTGTTGCAGACTTTTCTCCAAATAAGAACTGCTTCACTTGACAAGAGCCTGCAGCACCCCTAGAAATGCTGGGACCAATGCAATGTAGCACTGTGGCTTCCATGCTCATCCAAAAAGAGAGGACCCACAGCTCTGACCTTCCCACCCTTCTGGGTGCACCTGTGAACCTCAATGTCCACCCAACAGAAGGAGAGACTAAACTCCCAAACTTTCCACAAGCACCAGGAGTTTGGAATTCCTTCCCTGATAGCCATTTGCCTGCAACTCAAACCACAAGGAATAAACTAAAGATGACACAGGAGAAGGACACCAGCATTTGTCAGAGTACCTGTGGTGTCTATTACACCAGAGAAAAACTCTGTTTTGCAATTTTATTGCACTACCTTTTTATACAACAATTGGAGAAAAGTGAGCATTGTCAGAAGGGTGGAGCACACTGTGGGATGAGAGAAAAGTTGGCCCAGTGCCGTCGGCCTCAAGACATTTCAGAACAAAGGAAAAGCAGCATTTCACACCCTGCATTTCATTTTGGTTTGCCTTGTGATAAATCCACTGCTGTGGACAGAATTCCTGACCCTCACCCAGCCCAGCAGACTGCAGGAGTGTTCATCCTCTTTATTTTTGCTGAACAGGATGGGGCAGTGGCAAATTAAAGAGGAAGGAGATAGGAGAGCTACCAGGCTCCTCTCCCACTGGCCCTAACTCATGCCTGGACTCCTGTCAGCCAGGGTACMTTTAATCTCAAAACTTTCAAGGAATGAAATAGGTGGGTAAAATATCATGTAAATTATGGAGTAAACACTAATTTTATAGTTTAACTGCAAATTACCTTTGCTTCAAAATCTGTAATAAATCCCACCAGATGGACCTTGCATACTGACAGAAAAGGAAATCTTGAATCCCTCCTCCTTTCTCCACTGCCAGTTTTGGACTGCCACTGCCCTGATTTCTGTCCTGATAATTAACCTGCTGCATTATCCTCCTTCCCAGGGTGACTGGAGCTTTCCACTGACCCATGCTGGCTGTGTAACTCACTTTGTGCAAAGAGCTGAGAGATGGTTTTCCGATTGTCTTCAGACCCCTCAAACTCCTTCTCCGCCAGCTGCTTGTTGGCTGTCTCCATGCGTTCTGCAAAAATTTTCAATAAAAGCAAAATAAATAATTAAAAACTTTCAGGCATRAAGTTACATTTGCTCAGGGCATTCCTGATGCTGGGAGAATGGATCTCCTAATTCYACAGCCTATCAGAAGTTGGCCCTCACTTTTGAAATGTTTCTAATTATGCCCTTAAAGATATACTTTCAATGAGACAAAACAGGTTAAAGTTCCAAAAAAAAATTTTAAATATTCATAACACAGAATTTTATTTGTTCAATTTATACCTTTCTTTTTCMACACAAATTTCAGCACACAATTAAAAGACTGTCTTATAATTCTCCATTAAATCTTAACAGAAGATTAAATCACTGTTGTCCAATTACCTGACTTGAGGGAATAGTGCAAAACCCTAAAAACTGCTTCATGCYGCTAGAAATTTGAATCAGTCTGTAAAAATTAGAATAAAATGTTTATACCATGTTTTATTATGAATATGATTATTTTGTGCAGGCCTTTGTGTACTGTACTGGGAAATGTACGGCTTTACTCTTGCAAAATAATTTCTGGGAGTCTTTGTAAGAGATGTGACAGTGAGAGACRACAAAATGCAGGACACCAGGAGGCTTTCTTAAAAAAAATTAAACTTACAGTTTAAAAAATTGTTTGTGCACCCTCAAATATCTCAAATTGCAGATGTTTTTCACTTTTCAAGCTAATGCTTAAACTGTTACCCCTGGTAACACTCTGCTGCCAGCCGTGGTGCTGCCTCAACCCCTCTTAGCAAGAACCAGACACTAATAACATCTCACTCTGGAAAAGGAAGGGAGATCCAAAAAACCAGATGCCTACATTGATAAGGAATGACAAGACCTGCAGGAAGAACAGACACTCTGCAGTTTGTATGTCAGTGCAAAAGGGTCACTGGACAGGAAATAAAGTGAACGTGCCTGGTGTGGGATTAGGCAGTCAGCAAAACCTCTTTCCATTTGTGTAAACTGAACAAATTGTACAAATTGTCTCTAGGATGTAAGACATGAGAGAATTCCAGGCTTGCATCTGGTTTATGGTATTTGGCTTATCACATGTTTCTTGTCAATGAGAAACAGGCTGGAAATGAAAGACTACAGCCCWCTCCTAAACCTGTCTTTTCCATTCTCCCAGCAAGTGTTTCAAATCTCTGACTACTGAATTCATCTGAGTATCCCATCATATTCCACTCGTGTCACACATTGAATTGTACAGCAAAACTCTGTCCTGCCATGTAGGCACAACAATAAATAAACCCAGCACTGAAGAACAGAAGTTTTACTTCATGTACCTCTCAGATCCCTGTTGAAATCATGAAGCCTTCGAATTTCTCCTTCCAGTTTGTTTCTCATGGCCTTCTCCAGGGCATCCCGCTTAGAGGATGATTTCTCCAGGTTTTTGTACGCCTCTGAAACTTGTTGAATTTCTGTTTCCAGCTGTAGCAAAGTGAAAACAGGCACATTTCAATCAGTCTGAGACAGGAGATTACATTCTCTCAAGTGTTCTTTATTGAGGAAAACCTACACTTAAACACTAAGAAAGTCTCAGGTCTGTGATGAAGCTCTCTATAGAAAGAATATCAGTGACTGAATAATTTTGCAATAAAATATACATTATCCTTTCTTTTAGCCTCCAGTGTAAAGCTTCTGTAATCATCCAGAGCAGGAGATTCACTCCTAACTCTCCTTATTAGGCATGGTTTGCTATGGAAGTGAGGATCCACACAACAACAAACCCCAGTGTCTACAGCAAATGATCAACAGGGAGGTGGAGGGAAGTGCATTTGTATCCTTCTGTCATTATCAGGAGGCAGTCAAAAATTTCTGTAAAGTGTTTCCTGGCCAGAAGCCCTCCAAAAAAATACAACAAAATGAACATACATCCCTGGTAAGAGGTGACATAGAGAATGAGTGTGGAAAGCCACACTGGTCACCTGAACTCAGACGTGTTTTAAGCAGCCACACATCTTTCTGGCCTCAGACACTGGTCAGTGCAAAGAGCACRGCAAGGCCCACAAAGCCCTAAATTGCCAAGCAGCATCAGCCTTTCCACAGCCTCAAGGCAGAAGCAAAGCTGACCTGCTGCACAGCTTTAAACCAYTGGTCATCAGGAAGTTATTTCTGTGAGGCAGCATGAAAATAYCTYCACACATGTACATTAACGATGGCTMTCACTGGGRTATTTTCCTTTAMATGTTTTAGCATCATTTACTCTGCTTGTTCCACAAAGCCAAAGGTGGCAAATAGCTGGGTCCAAATCAAGACATTAAGTTTTCATGGAAATTTTGTGGTGTTTAGAGAGGGACAAAAGGAGTGTTAGTCCCAGCCCTGCAGTCCAAATGTCTTTAGTGTAGCCATAGCAGCACTCCTTGCCTCACACACTGTACTGCCAACCATTTCTGTAGCAATGTCCCCTGTGCCTCCTTCAGTGACTGTGGTCTTGTGCCATCCCATCAAGCCCTTCCTGCAGCCTCCAAAGTCTTTTAGGGAAAATGAAACYTGCTGCTACCCTGGGCAAGCTTAACTTAACGAAGCAAGCCAAGCAGTCAGCCTCTTGAGCAGCTGAGGAGGATGTGCTTTTGAGCATGGTCAATGAACTGTTAGCAGAAAATTGAAGGCTYTGATTGCATCTTCTGCCAAAGTTAAACTGATGCCCAAAGAGACAGGACACAGACCAATCAATCTGCATATGAAAGACTCTAAAGTACATAATCAATCCCTGCAGCAAGGAATCAACAGTTGCAGATTAAATGATTTAATTATGGACTGGACCAGAGACAAGAGAGTGCCTGAATTCCAAAAGCACCCACCTTCTGCAGCCGGGCCACTTTCTCATAGCACCCATCCAGCTCCTGTCGCAGGGAGCGGTTCTCCTCCGACAGGATTTCCACCATTTGCTGGGCCCTGGAGACGATGGCAAAAGGATCTACTTGCATCTGCTGGTAGGGGGAAGGGATCTGCTGGGCCCGGGGCATCACGGAGTAGGAGTCGCTTTGCTGCTGCTGCGGGCCTAGGAAGGGCTGGCATAGTCGGTACAGATCTCCCTGATGGACTGGGTTGGACAAGAAAGGCTGCTGGGTCCGCGGCACAATGCCAGGATCTGCCTGGCTGGGAGTCAGGGGCTGCTGGTGCTGGGAAGGGGACAGCCTGGAGGGTGGTGGAGACTGGAGCAAAGTCAAAGATCCCAGGGATGTCARGGAAGAAGTTGGGCTGTGGTGGTGAGGTGGTCTTTGTTGTAAYTGCAGCTGCACATCTGGGTTCTGCCTGGAAAACAGAGAGCAGAGGCTCCATCAGCCACACAGAGGAGGGTGCACAAACCCAGGGACAAGGTGTGTAGYTCCTGGGCACAAGTCTGCCCACACAAAAGACTCATGAGAGGCTTTCTTCAATTTTAAGTCTATTTTTAAAAAGTATTTCAAAATCAAATCTTTAGCAGAAAATACATTCTAAAGGCACAAAGGTGTTTCTTCTTGAAACTGTTTTTTACAGAAACACTRAGAGAAAGTGTATCAATAACTACCAGTCAAAATTATTTTCATAATTTTTCTACACACTTTGTGGATAAAATTGCTCAACCAAGGACTGCTAGGAACAGACTCTTGTTCTGGCCTTAAATCTGTCATCRAGAAAACAATGAATTTTCTTTTGTAAGCCAGGATAGAAAGTTAAATGCATTGGCTTTTAGTATTCCAGCATTGGCTGTTAGTATTCCAACACCACTGCTCTGAGCTTTCTGAAATATTAACCAACAAGCTGCAGCCTGGTTAAACAAGACAATTAAAGGATCTGAAAACCAAMCTAAGAATCAGAAGCAGCATTTTCATTCCAACCTGCCCTGTCCTATGCAGGTGTAGGTGTATTCACTGCTCTTACCAATAACCTCTGCAGGCTCTCAGAGACACATCTAACAGTCTACAACAAGCCTGMGTCCATCACAGAACTAGCTCCAAGTTATACCTTCTCCGGTTTCCCAGGCTCTGGAGATCCCCAGCTCAACTCCTGCTGCATTAGCCAAGTAAGAAATCTCACTGAGAAGACTGCATGGATTTATCATGCTAGGATGACCTCAGGAGACAGGATTTGCTTTTTCCTCCAAAGACATTCAACYTTTCACTTCTCTGGATGTTCTTTATCCCAACAGCTGAAGTCCCTCCCTCTCCACRCTGCAGCCAGTCTCCTCCTGAGCAYRGAGCTCAGCCCAGAGCAGACCCAGTTGGGCAGCTCAGCGTGTCCTGAAACACTCCTGCTGCTCTGACAAAATTTCCCACCCTTTGGGATGCAGTTCAACCCTGCAGCTGGAAAAGCACACGCTGTTGTTCCACCTGGCCAGAGCTGCTACAGAACACCCCTCTGGCTGCCTGTGCTCCCAGGAGGGACCCTGGCCTGGTGCCCTGCAGAGGATGGACAAGGCAGCTCACAGCATTCCCACCGCAGGAGCCTTGGAGGAACTGCCAACAGCCAGAGGAAGCTGAGCTGGGAACTAAAGGGTTACAYACCAAGTACAAACACTCAATACCATCCTTCCTGCTCCCTGCAGAATGGAGGAATCTCTCCTCATACCCCTCACTCACATCTGGGCATTACTCACATGTGGCAGCAGCGCAGGGGAGTTCAGAGGTTCTCAGCCCAGCACAGGGTTCACTATTTCAGCATGGTGCCCYTCATCTCTCACTGCCCTGCTTCCCAGCAGAGAAAAAGCATGGAAACCTCCAAGCTCCCGCTCAAATTCCTTAATGGGGAAACAAATCTAGCCTTTGTTAACTAAGAAAAAACAAAGAATCACTGCTCTAGCTACTGTTTCTCGCCTTCTCACATTCGGGTGACTGCGGTCCCTGCCAGCAGCATCATTTCAGGAGCTGTATTTCCCCARAAATGATCATTTGTGGCATGAGGATTTCAGGGGTCATGTAGAAGAGAGAGATGTGCAATTAATTTCCTCAGGAATGTTCGGTTTAGAAGCAGCAATTTGGCTCTTCCTCTCCCAGGGGGGCAGCTCTACTTATTGTTGCATTGATTTCATTAACTTTATTTGCCAGTTCTCATAATGAAGAATGAGGCAAAAACCATCACAGGCCGTGCTCAAGGTCACCTGGTTTGTCTCAGGTGGTCTCCAGCTCCTTTCTCAACTCACCCAGTTGTGTGCAGAGTTAAAGCTTTGCATCCTCACACACCACTCATCTCCCCGAGTTCATTCTTTACCTTTCAGCACAGCTCTGCTTTGATGCTATAATCAATTAGGGAATAACCTTGCCATGACATTTAATCTGTGATGGCCTACAGAGTCAGATCAAAAGGAATACATTGCCAGTCTGCCTCATGAATGCAAAAAAACAGTTTTCAACCAACAAAATATTCTTTTCCAGCCTGAAAACAACCTGGAGCAGTTACTCAGAAAGATTGGTCTCAGTGAGTTAATCTTTTAAGCCTAATGAGGACCATTTCGATGCCAATGTTAACAATTTGAACTATTTGACTAAAAACATCTTGTTATTCTGTCAACAGAGACCCAATGGCAGAACCCTGCCATCCTGAGCACCAATGAAAAGAACAAAATGATGGCCAAAGAAACATAACATTTAAATTCTGAAGAGACAGTAGAACTGCCATGCCTTGTAATGATCTTAAAAAAAAAAAACAACCCAAAAAAAACTATTGTAAAGAACAACTCTAGGAAATCATGGCTGAGTATTTCTAAACAGGATACATTTCCAAGAATTAAAGCATCTTGGCACTCACATCCAAAGCCTCTCATAATCTTGAAATGATACCAGAATCTTGTGGACTCAAGCTAAAGCATGAGAGCTTGGAGCCTCTGCTTCTGTGGCATTACCAAGAGCATTAGAGCTTCCAAAATGTCATAAATGCATTTATATTCCCAGCAGAACTAGGCAGCACAGCTTGGTTAATAAATCCTACTTAAAAAAAATAAAATTAAAATTCTAGTAACCTCACAGTGACATTAAACCTTTTAAGATCTTGCATGCAAACTTCTACATACACATTCAAAGAACTTTTTAACATCCCCACTRTTTAGAGTTTTGTCTTATAAAATACATACATTTTGTGGGCACAAAATAACTGGCTCTGGRATTTCTTCATATTAACATGGAAATTGCAGAATTTATTTCTCTGGTAAAGCAATTTTGGGCTGAGAGAGTCAAAAAGGTAAATTAACACAATTTGTATTTTTCAAGATTTTTAAGCTAGACTGAAAAATTTTAAGGTAAAAATTACTATTGGTGTCACCTAACAGTATTGCTAATTAAATRCTGGTAGAAAATTCTCTCCACGAGAAAATGAATCCTCAAGTAACCCCGCAATAGTAATCAAAACTTTATCTGAACCAACCACTTCAGAAAAAATGCAGACTCTCAAAACACAYGGAAAACAAAATTACACAATCTCTTTCCATTCACCTCAGTGTCACAGAGACGTGAATAAACCAAATGCAAGGAAAAAAAACAACCCTCAAATTACCCCCACAAGTGTTTGGGTTGGAAAGCATAACTTTAAGGAGCACTTCTCTGTGCACCAGGCAGGAATCTCTGCTCCCCTGACAGCCCCTGGCATGGATCAGAGGAGGCTCCACACAGGCCAAGTTCAAACCTGGATTTATGGCTCTGCAGATCCAGGGGTCACCTCGGCTTTTAAGTCAGGAAGATAGAGACAGAGAGAGGGCAGCTCTGCAGGCACAGCACCATCAGGGGTGCTCAGGCTGTGCCAGGACACAGGGTCACACACCAGCTCTGTGGGCAGAGCAACACAGCGGGGAGGGCACAAGAATGAAGGGATCAGGAAAGGTCTCTGGCTCATTCAGATTTTTTTTTTAATGCTTCCCCAGCTTCTCCTGCCTGTTCCACGTTCGAGAAGCTCCCAGTTGCCCTCTCTTCCCCAGCCGTCCTGCACAAACCAGGAAGCGCTGACTGCGGGAGGGAGCAGGCTCCACTCCATTACACAGCCCAAATCAAACCCAGGCATTTTTGTTCTGCTGCCCAGTCATACCTGATTAGCCCCCACTTTGATGCTGCTCAGGGGAACGAAGTGCACAGAGTGATTTACTAATTATGGGACAAATTCTACAGACCTCCCTCTCAGAAACTTTCTGTGAAGTCAATGGGATTAATCACCACAGCAGGAGCTCAGTCGCTTGGGCTCCAGACAGAGGAGGGTGCTTGAATCAGAGAGACAAGGAGCTTCCTCTGCCCCCAAAAGTGCACCAGACTGGGGCTTCCTCTGCCCCCAAAACTGCA